ATTGATTCCACTTTTCTAAAACGCAATCACATCTTCTGCGCACAAACAAACGTCATCGTTTTCTAATCCCACGTCGTTTAATTAATTAATTAACTAATTTAAAATAATTAATATATATATGTATATTTATATTTTAAAAAAAAAAACGAAAGTAAGGAAAAGGAAAAACAAACGTTTGTTTGTTTGTCCATCGACAACGTAACAGTTATAAATAATAATAATAATAATAATAATTGTAAAAAATAAAAAAATTGTCGTTGGCAAACAAATCAAACAACTTTTAATCTACAAAAAAAAAAAAATAAATAAATAAATAAATAAATTTTCATAAATTTTCAATAGCCCAAGTTAATAAATAAATATTATAAAATATTAATAATAATAATCATGATGATGATGATGATGTTGTTGGTTTATTATAACGATCTTATATAATTGGCAACGGGAAATGACCGAACAAACAAACAAGGGGACCGCTAAAAATTTAAAAGTCAAAAAGTTCTACTTTTATTTTACGCGTAAAAAAAAAATAATAATAATAATAAAATTATTAACGCGCGCGTAAAAATTTATTAAAAAAAAAAAAAAACGCGCGTTTCTAATGCGCGTTATAACAGAAAATAATAATAAATAAAAAAAAAAAATGTTTAATGTTAATAAAATCGTGATCGCAACATTTTCTGTTTTTTTTTTTTTTTTTTTTTTCGATTAACCGTTATTCTTATTTTAATACGACAACATTGGCAAAGCCTTTAACTACATTTTATGCAAAAAAAGTAATAATAATAATAATAATAATGATAGTGATGATAATAATAATAATAATGATAATAATAACACTTTATTAATATATTTTTTTTTCAATTCAACGCGTTATTCATTTTCAATTTTCAATTTCCAATTTTTTTTTTTCGACAATTTCCCGCCATTTTTTTTTGTTTCATCTACATTAAAAATTCAAAAATTTTCCAAAATCGAATAATAATAATAATAATAATAATAATATTAATAACAATGGCGTACGTTTTTTTTCTTTTTTTTTGCAACGGATTCATTATGTGTCAATTTCACACGGGATTTTTTTTTTTTTTTTACAACACTTGGACTTTTAGTGTTATTTTATTATCATCATCATCACCATCATAATTAGTATTATTATTATCAATTAGGATCATCATTCCAGATATGAATCGAGTGTGTTAAATAAACAAAAGCCCGTTATGTTCTTGTTGTTGTTGTTGTTTTCATCATTTCATTCTTCATTTCACACGGACCGCTATTTGTTAATAATAATAATAATAATAATTTCACGTTTGTATCATCTTTTTTTTTTTTTTTTTTTTAAATATTTCACGCCGTTTCCGTTTCCGTAAATTTTTATTTTTATTTTTTAAATCGTTATAATTATCAGAGTATAACATATGATAAAACAGTTATGAAAAAAAAAAAAAAAACAGTTTCACGTTCGCGTTTTATTTTATGTATTTAATGTAAATTTATTAATAACACACGCATTTAAAAAACAACATAATTAATAACGGAATCCGAACATTATTATTATTATTATTATTATTTTATTTTATTACGATCATGAGAACGTTTGACGTTTTTCACATTATTATTATTATTATTATTATTATTATTATTATTATTATTATTATTATTATTATTATTATTATTAAAATTAAATTTTTATTAGTAATTAAAATATATAAATAATTTTTATTTATTTAGGTTAATTCTTTCGCAACGTGTTTTTAAATTTTTTTTTTTTTTTTACGAATTTGAATTTCGCACCTTTTAATATTTAAAAAAAAAAAAAAAAAAAAAAGATTCTGGAAAAAAAAAAAATTATGTCCAGATTTTGAACTGGAATCAAATACAACAACAAAACAAACACAAACGATTTGAATTTTTTTTTTTTTTTTTGTTACTTTTCAGCAATTATTATGAAAATCATTAACAAATCATTTAAAGTAATAGAAATAATAATAATGATGATAATGTTAATGATGATGATGATGATGATAATGGTGGTGGTGGTGGTGGTGGTGGGGGGCGGTGGGGATGAAGGTGAAACACAAAAAATTATTGAATGAATACTTTATAGTAAATTTTTTAATGTCTATCTAAAAGTGATTGATTGCATCATTAAACAAACACACAAAAAAAAAAATGGAAGTTAAAAGAATTTTAATTGAAAAAAGGAAAACTATACCCCAAACAAATGAGAGAGAGAGAGAGATAGAACATAAATAATTAGAAAGTATTTTTTTTAATTTAAATAATAAATAAATAATCAATGATGGTAATGAAAAAAAAAAGAAAAAATTATTTTCAAAAACAAAACGTTATCATTATTATTATTAATTAACTCGTTAAAAATTGTGTAATTGATTTAAATATAATTTTTCAATAACCTTCTGCGTTTGTTTGTTTGTTTGTTTGTTTGTTTTAAAATTTTTTAAAAATTAAAAAAAAAAAAAAATTTATTATTAAAAAATTCCCGTTTTGTCGTTGCGATAATTCATTATTATTATTATTAAAAAATGAAATAAAGTCATGGAATATTCTAGAATGATAAATTTAAGGTTAATAATAATAAATATAACAGAAAACCTGATAAAAGGTCAAATAACCAAATAAATCTAGTTATGAGTAATCGAAACCCCATTCCGACTTTCTTTCTTTCTTTTTCCACAAATCCTCCCACTTCCTTTTTTTTTTTTTTCTGGAAATGTCCAAAAAAAAAAGAAAAGCATTGTCTGTACAAACAAAATGGAGGAGTAATTAATGGAGAGAAAAAAAAGAAAAAAAAACTTACTTCTCTACCTCTTTAAGATAACTCAATTAAATTTAATTAAACTTAATAATAATCATCGCGTGCTCCACATTTTTAAATTCTTAATTTAAAAATAAAAAAATGGCGCGAATTTCAAATTTAAAAATTCGATGATATTCTGCTGTTTAGAAATAACAAAACTTTAACGGAATATTTTCATAAGGAAAGTGTTGCCAACATTATTACCGACATTGTTGCCAACGTACGTACAAATGAAAATTCTAAAACACCCACGCCCTTAAGATTATGGAGAAGTAGGAAACAAAAAATAATAATAATAATAAAAAACCTTTATTATTATTATTATTATTATGTTAATTGTTAATGAGTTTGCATTATAAAAAAAAATGAAGTTTAAGTGTTTTTTCAACAACGTGTCCTTAATAAGTTGTAAGTAAGTAAATAAATTAGTTAATTCAGTTCCAGTTTCCTTATAAAAAAAAAAAAATCAAAAATCCGTTAAATTTTCAAGTTCCACGAAATAATTTTTTCTAGTGATACGATGATGTTATATACGCGTATAAAAATAAATTTTATTTAAAAAAAAAAAAAACGAACGCGCGTGAAACAAAAAAAAGACAAATGCTAAATTATATCGCGTGGCAATAGAAAGTTTTCTTGGCACTTTAAAGATTCTGTCATTTTCTTAACCGGATACTGTCATTTTAAAACGTTTTATTTATACGATTTTTTTTTTTTTTAAACGTTCGTTCTACATTTTACGCGAAAAAAATTCGCGGTCACGTGATTCACGGATTCCTTCTTTTGTTTTTTTTTTTTTTTTTTTTTTTTTTGTACGATTGGCTACCGTGATTTCATTCGAACGAATTTTAAATCTTCGTTAAATGTTATTATTACCACGTCAATTTTTTTTAAGAAAAAAAAACGATAACATCTTTCTGAATGGCAAGCATTGTGTTATTATTATTATTATTTTTTTTTTACAATAAAAGGGGGGGCCTCGTGTCGAAATTTTTCACGCCCGGTCAATAAATAAATAAATAGAAGAAAACAAAAAATTACAATCGAATCCATAAATTATAAATCTGGAATTTTCGAACATAAAAAAAAAAAAAAAAAAATTATCCGTTACAATGAGTTATTATTAACAAATGGGGGGGGGCCTAAAATTTTTGATATTTAAAATTCCTTCTTCCCCCCTTTTGTTTTTTTATAATAACACAATTGAATTTATCGACGACTTTAACTTTTCTTCGCAAGAAAAAAAAAAAAACAAAAAAAATTTTAATGACACACACACGCACACACACATCAATTTTTAAATTCCATAAAGTTATGACGTCACAGTGACGTAATAAACAAAAACAAACGAGAAGGGATGAATTGCAAATAAATTATGATAACCCCTTTCGTACAAAAACTCCTCACCCTCCCCCCTCCATATTAAATTAAATTATGAAAAAAATTATGGAGAAAAAAAGAAAGATGGCGGATCAATCATACCATTTTAAGTTTATAATAATAATAATGATGATAAAAATTTAATTATCTTATTTCGAAAAAATAAAAATTAAAACCCTGAAGGTAAATTTGTTGGACAAAAATAATACTCGCGAGTTTTTATATACGAAACATGTTTTAACCTATTTAATTATTTTTTTTTTTTTACCTCGGAGGAATTTTTTTTTTTCCTTCTTCTTGTTTTTTTTTTTTTTGTTCTCATCGTTAAAACATAGAATAGAAAGAAAGAAGAAAGAAAGAAAAAAAATGGATGGCGATGATGGCGAGAAGGTTGTTGTTTGATTGTGTGTGATGACGACCATTTTGAAAATTTTTAATTTTTTAATAAAAACGCGCGTCTTGTGCACTTAATAATAATAATAATAATAATTTTTTTTTTCTTTCTTATTTCTGGCAAGTAATTTTTTTTAAAAGCGTAATTAAAATCATTATTATTATTATTGCATCTAAAAAATTCGTTAATAAATTTTTTATTGTATTTCTAATGCATACAAAAAATTTTGTAATTTTTACGTATAATTAACCCTTAATAATTTTATATATTAAAGGTATTTTTCTATTATTATTATTATTATTATTATTATTATTATTTTCAGACTGTTTTTTGCGTAATAAATATATATAAAAAATGAAAATAACGAAAAAAAATATTACACTCACCATATTTTTATGCGTGATGACCGTGAGCGCTATACCAACCGAAGATGAATCCAATAAATATTTGAAAATGAATTCTGGAAATGATAAGAAAAAAAACGATGTGGAATTAAATTTTGATGATAAAAAATGGCAGCAACAATCACGTAACGGTTCGAGGTAAATTAAAAATTAATTTATAATATTAAATAATATCAATTTAAAAATAATAATAATAAATTTTTTTGTTTGTTTTTCAAACAGTTTGTCAACGACATCGAGCCTTCTTTTTAAAGATACCAAACCTATTTTGACTTATTTATTGGGTCAACCTAAAAAACACGGAGGGATTTCAAGTCCGGCACAACTTTTATCACCTGATCGCTATGAATTTTTCACTTTCGACGACGATGGACAAATCGTTAAAAAATTAATGTCGGTGAAAGAAATACAAAAAATAATTGCGAATAATGAAAAGGGTACGGGAGGAGAACAGGGAGGAACGCCGATTGAATATTATCAAATTTTAACGGTCACTCCCGATGTTGAGTCGATACCTTCGGTTAGCAGAATTAATCCGAACGAACCTTTGTTCAGTATACACGACGTTATAGCAAGTGTTCAAAACGTTTTAAAATCTGAAATAAATTATAAAAATTCACAATCTAAAACGAATTACAATGTCGATGATAATTCTGAACATTTTTCGAAAACGGAAAAATCACCGACTTCGAATGCAGCAGAAAAAGAATCGCTGACTAGTGTATCAACTTCGACCGAAAGTTCGAATAATGGAGATCGATCTGAAACGGAGATTTTAAATTTTAGATCGCGTTCTACGACGGTTGGTGAGGTGGCACCAGAGGAAATTGAAGTTACAACTGCCCTACCAGTGGTAACACAGAAGCAAGAAATGGTTTTGTCGGAGACTGTAAAACCATTACCTTTAGCTGTATCTGTTGCTTCTAAAGAATCCGTAACGCTTTCACCATCGTCATCAATATACACATCTGCATCTGAACCACCATCTACTTTCTTCTCTGCTCAAGATGAAACTACATCTTTTTCGACGAGTGTTCCTTCCGAATTCAAGTCCACAAATTTACCACTTTCCCCAATGAAATTAATTTCTACAGTAACCAATTATCCTTCATCAGTTAAACCAATCTCTTCGGTGGCAAGCTCTTCAATTAAACCAGTTTCTTTTGAAACCAACTTTCCATCTTCAGTTCAACCGGTTCCTACTGCAGCAAACTTTCCATCTTCAGTTCAACCAAATCCTGTAGCCACAAACTTTCCATCTTCAGTTCAACCAATTTCTACAATAACAAATTCTCCATCTTCATTTAAACTGATTTCCACGGTCACAAATTTTCCTTCTTCAGTTCTACCCCTTTCTACAGTTAGAAATTCTCCTTCAACAGTTAATCCGATGTCCACTTCAGTAACCAATTCTCCTTCTTCACAAAATACATTTTCCTTAGTGACAAATCATCCGTCTTCGTTAAAATCATTTGCTGCAGAAACAACAGCTAAACCATTTTATTCCGAGTCGTCTCCCTCATCTGCTGTAACATTCCTGTCTTCATCCGTTTCAAATTTTAATCCGACAACTTATCCGTCGTCACCTACTGATTCATCCTTTTTCCAAAATACGACTACATCCAAGTTAGAATTAGCTCCCGCTTCTTTACACGATGCACATCCGGGTTATACCTCGAACGAAACGTTTATGGAAGTGCAACCAACACTGGTTGAAGCAAACTGGGGACTTGCAAACACTTCGGCTTCGGTAGAAAATAAAAATTTAACTTTTGTCAAAGTCGAAACAATAGACAAAAATTCAACTACCGGAACGGAAACGACAAACACTCCAAAATCTGAAAATTTGTTTACACCAGCAGAGCAAGTTTCTTTCACGCCCGATTTGGCAAATTCAGTTTCTAGTGTTTTGTGGCAAATTGCATCTGAAAATGCTATGTTAGACGACGCGAACAAAGCAACTGAACCCACAATTATATACACTACAAATCAAAAAAAGCCTTATGAAACTTCCGAAGTAAATAATAATGCTGAACACAAACCTTTGTTTTACTCTGTTGCATCAGATATGACGGAATCTACATCAGCACCAACGGTTAAAATTTCTGAAAATCCATTCACACTTTTGGAAAGTATATTAAGACCTCAAAACAAACCAAGACCGTTTCAGGTTATGTCTACGACAGAAAAAAGATCAACAGATCCGGATAATTTATTTTCAACAGTTTCTCCTCTGACTGAAGCAAAACTTCAAACCCAACCTAGCAGTGTAGTGATCGTAACAGAACCAGAAGAAACCACGTTTAAAGTCGAGGAACAAAATTACAATAATCAATCATCAAGTCAAAGTGGTGAAATTTCTACATCGACGACAACACCTTTCGTAGTTTCCGTATCTCCCAACGTGGTAACACAAAGTCCGGAACATCTAAAGCCAGTTACCGACCAAGTAAAAGTTCACTTAAATCAAACTAAAACCGGTAACGACACGCAACAAACAATTGAAGGAGTTACCATAGTCCAAGAAGCCAACATAGGTAAAATACCAAGAACTACAGAATTTCCCGGACAAGTGGTCAAAGAAATTCTTAGAAAAGATTCACCAGATTTCATTCTAATGGACGAGGATAGTTTAGAGCATTCTGAAGGAAATATCGTAACCACCCAAGTACCCTACGTAGGAACATCAACTCAAATTTTAAAAGAAAAACCGGAACCGACGTCTCAAAGTACGAGCACGCCTGCACAATCGACAGTTTTTGAAAATACAAACCCAACGGCTGCTACTACAACTTTTCAAAACACAGACAAAGATGGAGAAACAGCTGCTACGGAAAAAGTTTCGATAACTTTTGTTCCAATGATGATTAAAACGCCATTCGAATTTAAACAAGAAGAAATTTTGAACAAAAGCGGCAATTTAACTTTCGAACAGGAAAAATTGACGACAACCGAAACGACAAAAGATACAACAATCGGTTTAACGGAAACTCCGATACCAGAAGAAGGTTTAGAATCGAAGGAATTACCAGAAGACGAAGCAGAACTTAAAAGCATTTTACCACTGATAGCATCCAGTTCGGAATATAAAGCAACGGTTTTATCAGGAAATCAAAAAATAGAATCGGATAAAAAAGATGTCGCGGGAAGTTTAAAACAAAGCGTACCACCTAAACCGACATTTGGTAAACCTCAAAAACCTGTTTTTAAACCAATAAAACCAAAACCCATCGTGAAAGAATCGGAAACTAAAAAACCGTATGAAAATCACTTACTTTCATCACCGTCGGTACTCGAACTCGAAGCAGCTCCGGTTGAAAATTTAGGTTTGGAAGCCACTGTCGTGCATTTGGACAACGACGTCAAACAATTTTCCGACTTGTGTAACGAATTAGCGTTTAGCTTATGGTCAAGTATCACCCACAACGGTTTGAGCTTCGTGAGAAGCATAGTACTCTCTCCATTTGCGGTAACATCTCTTCTCGCGATGGTTTTCCTCGGTGCTAGAGGACCGACTTCCGGTCAAATGAACGATATATTGAGATTAGACGACATGGTTACGTTTAATCCGCACTTGGTATTTCGAAACGTAACCGAATCGTTAGTTATATCGAGAAATCCAGGAGTCGCCACAGCTGCATTCGTCAGAGAATTGTACAGTGATAAGGTAACTTCCGTTTTAAATTTAATTTACTTTTCGTATCAGGTACATTTATGGAAAGTACATTAAAAATATCTTCTCGGGTGTCCAAGTCACGAATTCTCCTCATTTCTTAACTGATTTTTTTTTCTAATTAATTTTCATTTAAGGTAACGAAAACAAATCGCGAATATCGTTTGCATGATTTTACACACGAACCATTTTATGATGATGACGTATATGTTCGTTTAACACAATTTTCATTATCATAACTACTACATAAATCGAACAAAAACAAAAAAAATTTTTTTCTTCTTTTCATAACTTTCGAAACGAACGAAATCGATTCCGGAAAATTTTGTTTTTTTTTTTCTTTTTTAAATTATCGTTTTTCAAAAAATTCTCCATTTTTTTTTTTTATTCGATAATGTTTTCATAATTTTTCTTTTCTTTTCATAATTCCACTCGTGAGTTCCATTAACCACTTTAACGTAATTTACGTGAAACCCGTTACAACGTTTACCAACTGTAAAAAAAAAAAAATGATTTATGAATTAATAAAATTGACGGTCGTACATATATTTGAAACACGATCCTTAATTTGTTGAAAAAAATTTAAACGTGGTTTTTGAAAAAAGGAAAAAAAAAAAAAAAAAAAAACATTTTTCTAATATCTACTGTTTACATGACCTCATAACAAAACGGAAGTCGTTGATTAAAATTTTTTTTTTTTTTTTTAAATAAATAATCGATTCGAAATCGGTTATTTTCAAAATGTCAACTTTCAAAATTATTATTATTATTATTTTAATTATTTCAGTCGAAAGGAAAATTATTAGATTTTTATAAAGAAAGAGTTCAGCAATTTTATGATGGACACGTGGAAGAAATCAATTTTAAAGTTGTCGGTGAAACGTTAAGAAGACAAACCAATCATTTGGTTAAACGTCAAACCTGGGGTAAAATAACGGATTTTTTAAGAGGTTCCATGTTAATGCCACGACCTCCGTTGGCCGCTTTTAGTGCTAACATATTTCAGGTGAGTGAGTTTTTTATTATTATTATTATTATTATTATTATTAATTAATAAATAAGTAAACTCGATTATATTACTTTTTATTATCTATTTTCTGTTTTCGACGACCGGAAATTAAATTTTTAACTTGCTTAACTATAATAATAATAATAAAATGTGAGAGTAAGTACGACGATATTTTAATCAATTAAAAAAAAAACAGTCGTCCAAAATAACCAGAAGGATAATAAAAAGTGGTAATTAATTATTATTATTATTATCATCATCGTGCGATTCAATGAAAAGTTGCAATGAAATGTTTTAAATTCGACTTCCGGTTTGATTTAATTAAAATTCCGGTTTTCCGATTGCAGACTGACTGTTCAAAAGCATCGATAAAAGATAGAGATGGAGAAATGTATTTCGTGATATTACCAGCGAGCAGGTTAAGAAGATTGGTACCCATACCCGCGGTCGTTTGGAGAAGTAACTTTTTAGCCGGATACGAACCGGGATTGGATGCGACGGCTGTTTCGATCGGTCCTTCGAATTCGGTTGTCAGCACCATATTGGTACTACCCGGACAGCAAGGATTAATTGCACCGGGTGATACTTTGGCAAGACTAGAACATCATTTACTCGGTTCTCCTTACCAAAAAGGACACTGGTCTAGGCTTTTACGTAGTTTACTTCCTAGACCCGGTTTGGAATTACAAATACCGCGGTTGTCTCATAAATCAGTCATAAACGTGACAACGTCACTTCAAAGAATGGGTTTAAAAGATCTTTTCAGTGCGGATAAAGCCGATTTGACGGGTCTTAATGGATTGGCCAACGATTTGCATTTATCAGACATGTTACAAGTACCATAAAAAATTTTTTTTCTTTTTTTTGTTACATTAATTTAAAATTCGTGTAATAATATAATAACATTTTTTTTTTTTCAAAGGTGAATCTTTTTAGCACGTGCGGAGAAGAACCAATCGGATCTCGACATCATTCCGAAGTTTATCCGGCAACTGCAGTTTTAAGAAGAGAAAAAAGCGCGGATGGAATTTTACCAGAATCTCTCGATAGTTTATTTGCCGTGTCAGATTTCGAAGATCCGGCCATATCCTCACTCCCACTCGAATTGAGACCGAGACAAGCACGCATACCATTATCGAAACCCGGTGCTAGAATTCCAGAGCCTCCCAGATTAAGGTTCGATAGACCTTTCTTATTTTTTGTAAGGCATAATCCCACCGGTCTCATTTTACACATGGGAAGATTTAATCCGAGATTAATGCCTTGAATAAAATCACACATTTTAACCAACAAACTTCTTATAATCGTCTTGATATCGATTTACAAAACAAACAAACGAACAAACAAACAAAACAACCAAAATGAACTAATACAATAAATCACTAAAAAAAATTTCCTGCCATTATAGATTTAAATTTTCAAAATGGTAGAATTATCTAAAAAAAAAAAAAAAGATATTAAGGCTACTTCCAAGACTGATTTCGATCTGCGTGCAATTTAATTTAACGTGAACTATACGCACACACACACTGCGTGTATCAGATCATCTCGCACGATTTTCCGGTATAAAATCCGTTTGTTTTAACACTCTATGAATATTTTTTTTTTTTTTTTTTAACGACGTTTTCATATTCGAACTCGGTAATTTAAATAATTATTATTATTATTATTATTATCCGACGCGAATCGCGACGACGACGACGACGAAAAAATTTTTTTTTTATTTAAAAATGATTTATTAACAAATTATAACCGCACATAATAAATTCATTTGTTTAAAAAAACACGTGACCGGAGAGTTACTCAGTTATAAATTTGTTTAAAAATAAAATTCGCTTGATATTGTTTAATTTTAACAAATCGATACCGGTCACATAAATTTATTATTATTATTATTTTAAAATAATGATAATGATAATCGTTGGGATCGAGTATCGATATTTATTATTATTATTATTATTATTATTATTACTAACGTCGACGTTAAAAAAAAAAATAAAAATAAAAATGGTAAATCCGCGTATTTGCATTCACGTTTTTCTTTCTTTTTTTTTTTTTTTTTGCATGCGAATGATTTACGATCGATCGCACGTGATTAATAATAATAATAATAATAATAAGTAAATAAAGATGGCTTTATCATATCATCGCGGAGGCAACGTATAAATCCGATGATGTTTTTTTAAAAAAAAATTTTTTTTAATAAGTGTTGTAAAATATTATTAATTATATATATATATATGAATATATTTGTATCGTATAAATTATTTATTTATTGATCGTTTTTTTTTTTAACCGTTATTTGAAATTTGTCTGACGACACGATATCAAAAATTTTCATTATCGCCCTGTCGCCGCCATTTTATCTAGAGCCACTAACTCATCAATCGAAAATTCTTACAACCTTTTCTTTTTTTTTTTTTTCACAAAAAAAAATTTTTATTCGAAAGTACATTTAACAAAAAAAAAAATAATAATAATAATAATAAAATTACAAAATTCAAGCTGCCACGAATGCAATTTACCGTTACGATTCAAACGATTACACTATAATTACTATTGCCACGTCAAAATTTAATCGAAGCAATATCAACATTAAAAAAAAAAATAAAAACATCACATTGATTTCAATTAAAATTTAAAAAAAAAAAATTATTTATCAAAATTATTTAATAAATAAATAAATAATAATAATAATAATAATGATATTAATGAGGCGGCAAAAAATTAACGGTTAAACAATATAAATATAATAAAACTAATTAATAAACGTATTATTTACATTCTTTGAAAAATTTATTACATAATTTAGCAAACAATAAAAAAATTTTTTTCACACTCCCAACCGTCTTAATCATCATCATCGCCATAATTATTATTATTTTTATTATTATTGCTTTTGTTTTATTATATGGAATAATGGGGATAAACTTGACCTTGAAAACGGTAAATTACGAAACGTGTATGAAAATTTGTCACGGCAATTAAATTAACAATAACAGTTAACTTTTCAACTTTAATAATTTGATTCGGATAATAAAATAAATAAATAAATAAATTAACGAATTCTTCGATCGAACTAGAAAAAATTTTTTTTTTTTTGTCGTGGCGGCAGCGGGGAATCGTGGGCGTTAAAAAAAAAAAAAAATTAATCATCCATCGATGTCACTTTTTTTTTGTTTTATTAAATGTCAACCGCAAAATGTTTGGCAAAGTGTTTAAAAAAAAACTACGATCGACCGCCCTCCCCCCCCCTTTTTTTGTATCGTCCAAAAACAAATCCATTATTTACACGTGTTACTACCACGTTTTATTAAACATACACGTGTTTTTTTTATTTTATTTTAACGACATTAAAACATACGACACAAAAACATTTGTGGATTCAATAATTTTATGTTTACAAACAATTACAACCGTGACGTTACCCATCACGTGACAAATTAATCGTTAAATTAACGAAAAGTAATTCGATTATCGAAATAAATCGATCATTTAAATAATATCGAAAATATATACAAAGAAAAATCGAAGCGTTTTGGTGATTCATTCGTTGAAGTTTTTCTTTAACCACGTCAAAATATATAAACAATCAAACAATTTTTCGTTATCATTATTTATATATACGATAAAAAAATAATAATAATGACTTTATAGATAAACAACAACCAAAACGGAAGAGAGAGAGAAAAAAAATGAAAATAATAATAATAATAATAATAATAATGGTAAAAACAAATTGTTATAAATCAATGAATGCGATTAATTGAAATTAAGTAAGTTGTGACGATGATGTCATCGTTTTAATAACGGACATTTAAAAATAAAACTTGATAAAAAAATAAATAAATAAATAAACTTGAATCACGACAAGAGTTTTGTGCGAAACAAAATAATAAAAAAAATTTTTTTTTTTTTAAAAACTTTTTTCGACAACCCGTTTGTTGTTTGTTTTATAACAAACAACCTCTTCAATTTTTAACGTGTCAATAAAATCAAATTTATAAAAAGATTGTAAATACTCGAAACGAAAAAAAATCGTTGTTATTTTATTCCTTTTTTTTTTTTTTTTTTTTTAAAAAAATATCAAATCGATCGATACGGAATGTAAAAAAAAAAAAAAATCGATAAATCGATATATCGAACGTGAGTGTGTATCTATTACGAACACGTTTCGAAAACATTAGATTTCCCCACCCCTCACCCTCCCCTGCTCCCCCCCAAAAAAATAAAACCGTCAATAAAATTTAATTTAGAGATTCATCATTATCGTGACGCGTTTGATTTTATCAAAAAAAAAAAAAAAAAAAAATTTGAATTTTCAAACCGGAAATCGATACCTTTATTATTATTATTATTATTATTATTATTGTACCTGACTTTGAAGGTTCACTTTTAACAAAAAAAAAATACACTTGCAAAAAATATATTTTTACAATAATAAAACGCGCGAAATTTTTTTATAAAAAATTGCGATTAATATTTATTTATTAATTACTACAACTTATTATATTTATATAATCGTCGTGGCAGTAGAAAATTCATTTTTTTTTTTTTTAATGTCATAATTATTTAATAAATGTCATTCGATATTTAAATATCAGAAGAAAAACGTCACGTTTTAAAATAAAAAAAAAAAAAAACTTTAATTACACGCGTATATAAATAAAAACTCTCTTAAAATCGTGGTAAAAGTTGTTATTGTTGTTGTTGTTGTTATTTCCACGACTACTTATACTTGTATACTATTGGTCAAAACGTATTTTAACCTGCTTAAAAAAAAAACATGACGATGACGATGACTATGTGTCTCTCTGCATCACCATATTTTTTAATTACGTAACATTAAATATGAACAATTAACGCACGCGCACTCGATATTATTATTCTGTCACGAGATTTTCTATTATCATTATTATTATTTTTCAATACGTTACGTATAAATATTTAAACAAAAAAAAAAAAAATTTCGATAAATATTTCGTAACGGAAAAACAAATCGTTTTTTTTTTTTTATTTAAATAATAATAATACTAATATTTTAATAAAGCAAAGTGTTACGTATAAAATTTTCATAACTCGTCATCATCATTATTATCATTATTATTTTAATTTGTATCGCGTTTTAAAAATGGTGTTGTTGTTTCATTTACGAGAACGTAGGAAATAATAATAATAATAATAATAATTTGTGAAAAAATGGCCTCAAGTTAAAAATTTGCGTAATTTGACTTTAAAAAAATTGAAATGATGATTTTTATTGAGAAAATAAATAAAAATTATTTATTAATTATTATTATTATTATTATTATAATGATAATAGTTAATAAGTTTAGATTGTGTAGACCGAAATGAAGAAGAAGATGAAAAAACAGAAGAAATCAAAGGTGAAAATAAATAAAATATATAAAAATATAATCCAAGGAAAAAATTTACTTATATAGTGTTGTGTGCGTGCATTGTGTGTGTTTTTTGTAAAAATTTTTTTTTTAGGCCAACTATTGTAATGTTTAAAATGGGCTTGGTTAGTCTAAGACTTCATATCATAACATTAATACATAAAAAAAAACATTGTTGTTTAATAAATAAAGAAGAAAAAAAAAAAAAACAAAAACAAAACGAGGTTATTTGACAAATAATTTCTTTTTATTATAAAGAACATCATTCGAAGAGAGAGAGAGAGAGAGAAAGAGAAAAGAGAAAAGAGAAAAGAGAAAGAGAGAGAAAGAAAGTTTTTTACAAAGTGTATTATTGTGTTGGAAAATCGAAAGGAAAATAAATAACGAAAATCTCGTCGTAAATGTTATCGATTTAAAAAAAAAAAAATGAAGGTAAGTAATAATTAATTAATTGTTAATAATTAACTCTAATAATAATAATAATAATAATAATAATAATAATAATAATAATAATAATAATGATAATGATAATAATAATAATGATAATGATAATAATAATTTTTACTTAGACGAAAAAAATCTTTAACTCCACGACGAAAAAAAAATTTTAAATACCTGAATTAGGTACGAGTAGTATCACACTCTCACGATATCAATTTTCTTTTAAGCTTACCCACAATAATAATAATAATAATAATTAAATGAAAATGATAATAATAATAATAATAATTTTATAAAATGTTTTAAACGCACGCACGTAACTCAACAGAGAAAAATTTTTTGAAAAACAAACGTGAAAAGCAAAAAACAAAAAAGAAAACCTTCGCCAAACCCGTAATTTAAATATCAAAAGAATATTATTATTATT